CACTCTGGAGTAATATTAATGAATGGCTCTTTTCCATTAGCATGAATATTTATATTGGAGATTTTATATCGCTAAAATATAAAATTAAATGCCTTATTAATTATTACAGGCTAAGTTGCTATAAAAATACTCTATACCTCATTTTATAAGTCTTAAGAAGGAGGTCGTCTAAATCTAACGTGGTGGTTCCACATCAATGAACAGTTTCAACTGATAGGTCTCGAGCTCTACTGTCACTTTCTTCTAGCAAAAGGGGAGGGGGAAAGTGACAAGGGAAGCCCAGTTCCAGTCCTTTAATTAGCATGACCCAGAAATGTCACAGCTCACATCTCTTCACATCCCACTGGACACTACTTATACACATGGCTATAGCCAACTGTAGATGGGGATGGATTTACAGTATTTCTTATTGACTGGTACAACTGGAAGATCCCCACTATCGCCAACAAATATTGCTGAATTACACCCAGATATCTCTCCTTTTTATTTTTACATGAAAGGTAAAACACCTCACTGGCAAGTATTGTTGTTTTCTATTTTTTGCAACATTTACATAGCTTAATGCAGATTTGTAAGCCATTTTGGCATGTATTCCTATATGCTGACTTCTATAAATTTCTTTACTTGACATTGCACTATCCAAGTTAACGTAGAAAGAGCCATTCCACTCATGAACTTGTCATCACAGATGGGGTATATTGATGCGATGAGAATGCATGTAATGGAATAAACAACACATTATTTTCTATGACTTTTCAGTGTTACTACAGGCACAGTTTACAATTGTTCAATATGATCAATTCTTAGAAATACTTCTCCCTCTATCTGTCATACTTCGATGGCATTATTTAAATATCTTTTGATATTTTCACTTTCTTGCCTAAATTTTTTTGTTTAGTGTCCTAGTCCAGCACTGTCCATTAGAACTTTCTGAGGACAATATGGCAGCCATGGGAGTTTTTGAATAATTGTAATGTGACTAAGGATCAAAACCTTAAACTTTATTTCATTTTAATGAATTTAACTCTAAATAAACCCATGTGGCCAGTACTTGCCATATTAGACTGCACAGTCACTGCCTGTGCCATTCACAAACTCATTTCTACCACATCTTTTTTACTGCATAATAATACTAAAACGTCCTCAAATGGACTTAGATACCCAACATTTATTATTTGGTGCTTTATTCTTTGGGGGAGAAATTCTGTATTTTCAGTGCGACTGTAGCTTTGAAAACATAATCACTATTTAATATTTACTGAACACAGCACATATGTGCCAGTCACTGTTCTAGCACTCTATGTGTAATATATCATTTCATTATCACAAGAAAGTTAGTTGATAATTATCACCATTCTGTAGATGCATAAACTGACAAAACTACTGGTTGAAATGTTGCCTAGAGCAAACAGCCAGTAAGTGGCTGAGCTAGGTGTAAATCCTAGGCAAAATGGCTTCCAATCTCTAGCTCTCACTCCATTCTTTCCTGTTTTATTTTTCTGGCGAGGGAGGTTTTCATCAGCAGTCCTCTTTATTCAAAATGCATCACAGTTGAGGCCTGTCTAAAAGCATATTTGTATATGCATAATATCAGAAACCAGTGCCTCTGGCAAGAGGTATGAGAAAAGAGCAGACAATTTTTCTTCCTTTCTCTCGAAATGCACTGAGCAGCATCTGTGTTTGTAAAAAAGATGATCCACAATGTTCCTTACCTTTACTAATCTAGCACTGGGGTCTTAATTTATCAGAATGATAATATATTAGTAAATATCAATAATAATGAACAGGTGCTGTTTGTTTGCTCCTATTACCACACAAGATTATTCAAGATTTTTTTTTCTTAGTGAACTAACAGAAAGGATTCTAAAGCAGTCAGGATCAATTCTTTTCAAAGGGCTGTAATGTTCAGATTTAACACAGGTCAGTTATCTGCGAGTGAAAATTACTTATTAGTAGGTGCCTACTGTCCATAATGAAGTAATCTTACCTACCAATATTACAGAATAAGGATACCTTTAGGTGACACGGAATCTCTCATTTTAAGTATGCCCCTAAGCCTTTTTCAGATTGCTCATAAGATTTCTCATTCTCTAGAGAAATGTGATCTCTAAGAAATAAATGTCTCTGTCAAGTCACAAGTAATATAAGCACAGGATGAAAAAATATGGATTTTTTTTTTAGTCTCATAAGGGATATTACAGTTTTGTAAAATTGACTTTATTCCTTGTTATTTAAGTTTTCATGGTCATTTTAGGATTTACTTTTTGGATCTAAAAGGAAAGTTATGATGCCTCTTAGGTAGGTGGGGGACAGAGGCCTTCGGGAACCAAGACGATATTTTTCATATGAAATTCTTTGTCATAAAATGCTAATGTTGGTGTTCTTGTCTTTATGTCTATGCATTCTTTAGCTATGAGGATAACAGACCCTTCATCAAGTAAGAATGACCTGAATGGCTGATAAATCCCATTTATCAGTGTGGTCCCATGAACCAGCTGTCAGATCTGTACTGAAAATTCATTAGAGCTTCTGACATTCACAGAGAGGCAGAAGAGCAAACTGTGCAGGAAAACAAACAAACAAACAAACAAACAAAAACTCAGGCATACAACGTCTTTGCAGAATTCATATGCTGCAGGTGTACTGCCAAAAAAAAAAAAATCTGCTTCACCTCTTTTAATTGGATATCCTGTGAATTCCATGCCACAGTAATAGTAACTCGTGTGGCACAGGCTCTTGATAGCTCTCCCTTCATTGTGATGTGCTCCTCTGTACGGTTCGTACTCATTTCTGTTGTTTGGTTGGACATCATTCATCTAAAAATTGCTTTGTCATTTAGTCATATATCTTTAAAATGATCTATGGGTATAAAACTACCCAATTGCAATTGATATTAATGACTTTCTATTTTAACTGTCCAAAAAGGGAAACAATGCCTCCTTAAAAAATTAAATTTTACATTTGCAATATTATCTCTTTCAGTTTGACCCATGTCACTTGATTCATGAGCTCATTGTTTTTTATAAATGGAGTTTTTAAATTTCTGAAGCAAAGCTATAAGTCTGTACTAATCAAATAAAAGTGAACATAAATGTTCATATTTGGGGCTTTTTTCACGTGAACATTTTTAAAATTGCATGCCCTGCAACACTAGCCATAAGATTGGCAAACTCTTGGTGACCTTGTTCCGGACTTTCAGTTTGTTCTTCTGGTGAAGAGTCCTTTGTTTTAATTTTCTCCAGTGCCATTCCACTTATTTCTTCATCCTCTTGCTTATTTTTTTTTCTTTAGAAATTGGGCTCATTGCAGTTTTATATTATTATCAACTGTTAGGCCCATAATGTGTTTTCTAGTGTATAATAACTGATTTGAGTGTTTTACCCTATCATTTTATTTCTAAATCTAAGTAGCATTTTGCCTGATTTAATGGCATTTCATCCCATTTTTCCTTTTTCCAATGTCTGTAAGAAGCTGAGAGTTTCCCTTGAAAGTTCCCATATCTGGATCTAAATTGTAGTTTAAAATATAAATGTCTAAGATGTTTTCTAAGCCATATAAGCATGCCACATACAGTTGCAAGCTTTCTTTATTTAAGAATGTTAATGCTAAATAGCTCCTTCATTATAAAGGCATCATGGCATATTTTATAATAAAGCATATTTAATGAAAAAATAATGTAAATGTTTTAATTAATACATGTTAAATGTAGTGGGTCTTTAAATCTGAAATATAGTGGCTCATGTTGTTAAAAAAAAAAAAGGTAAATGTTTGAGATTAATTTGAATAAGACTTCAATCTTGGGACCATATTTTCTTAAGTTGTAGTTCTCTGAAAAGTTCATTAGACCAAACTTCAGCTTGTGGCAAACAAATGCGATTTTTTACCCCTTGATTTTGCAAAGTTTTAATCCCAATAAATAGATTTTTCATAGTGTAAGTGGAGGTTAACAGACTGGTGAAAAGAACTACTAGGGTACCCTAATGAAGGAAGGTATACTACAGGGAAAGGGAAGAGAGGGTTAGCTCATGAGCGTACAGCGATATAGACTGAGTTTGTCCTATTTTCCTATATTCTTAGAGAGGAGTTGAGAAGGATTACATTTTCAGTTATTGGATTCCTATCTATTGGAAGTACTCACTCTATGCTGATTGTAAATACATAACACATACACACAAATACATGGACTTTTGCTACCCGTTGATTACTATTGTGAATGGCAGCTTGAAGGAAACAAGGGGAATGGAGTGAGACTGAGAATTTACCTTTCATTCTGGACTACTTTGTTCATACCACTCCATCCCCATTCTCAGCTTCATTTTTCTCCCTTGAGTTCACAGACACTTCAAAGAGATGAAGGTGCCTGAGCCTTTGAGCTTCTGTTCAACAAAGCTGCCAATTGCCTGATTTCTGATATCTAGTCCAATGTAATGTAGAATATATATTAAATATATATACATGCTAATAGAACTTTTAAAATTCATACATGTATTCCATATACTGGTTCCTTCTAATAATAGCTCTGTTTTTATCAGTAAACACTAAAAACTTTATGGAAAAAGAGGAAATATGGAAAAATGGGGTAAACGTGTATCAGATGAAGCACTAATGGAAAGAGTCCAATCAAACAGATGTTATTACACCAATGAGACCAATGGAGACTATCATAGCTTTATAGACTTTTTTCTCCCTTGCCATTCATGATTACATCTCCATGTCATTTACCTATGTGCCGCAAATACATGAAAAACCTAATAGTGCAAGTCTGCTTTTGCTTAAATGAATTTCTGTGTTCATAACATTTTCATGTATTAACCCCTCAAACTTGAAAAATTGTATCTCCATAAAAATCTTATAAAAAGTACTTATACCACCTGTCTTGCATTTTCTGTCAATAAAACTCTCTGTAACATTTTTTCAGTGTCAGTTTTCTTGATATGATATGATTGGGTTCATTAAAAGCCAATTATTTGATCACCCTTAATGTTTTCTTCTATCTACAGGTCATGGGTCATCGGTGCAATAGCTCTTCTCTGCCTGCTGGGATTGACCTGGGCCTTTGGACTCATGTATATCAATGAAAGCACAGTCATCATGGCATATCTCTTCACTATTTTCAATTCTCTACAAGGGATGTTTATATTCATTTTCCATTGTGTTCTACAAAAGAAGGTAAGCTAGCATTCTCTATTTAAGAATAAATGGTATCTATATCTTAGGATAGTAAAGCAACCATAACAAAAATCATTCTTGACATGTTTTCCTCTAACAAGTATGTTACTTCATTGATTTAATTTTTTTAAAATATAATAGTAAAGATAAAATATAAGCACAATAGTTGGTAAATGTGTTTAACTGGAAAAAAATAGACATGTAGTTTGATTTGGACACTGCACAAAACTTTATTCTTGTGGACTGGAACTTATAGTTCTGGTTTTTTTTAATAAATACTAATATTTTTATTGGCAAATACATGAAATTTGTATAACAAGCAGTAGCTTTTCTAAGATGTTATGGAGGTATGGTATGTGTATACATACATACATTATATATATGTGTGTACATATAAATGACATGGCATAGAAAAATATATATTTTAGTTTCTTTAAAAGCTAGTTTTTATGCACTAGAAAATATAAATTTATAAACATTTCATGATAAAATAATATTTATATATATTTTAAATATATTTTTTATTATTTCAGAGAGGGAGAGGGAAAGAGAGATAGAAACATCAATGATGAAAGAGAATCATTGATCAGCTGCATCCTGCAGGCCCCTACTGGGGATCGAGCCCATAACCTGGGCATGTGTCCTTGTCTGGAATCAAATCCTGCACCCTTTAGTCCACAGGCCAGTGCTCTACCCACTGAGCCTATCTAGCTAGGGCATATTCATATTTTTTTAATGAATGATGTAGTACTTAGTAATGGTCTCTATACTTCTTTTCTCTAAAAACATTTTATAAAATCTAGGAATCAGATGATTAGGATGCAGTATTTAATTTTATACTAGTCTACTTCATGATTTTTTTTTCACATCTACAAGGACCTAAAATATTCATGTCCAAAGTTAATTTTAGCAACAAAATACTTTTGTTAAATTTTTTAAACCTCAATATTGATTATCTCATCTTATACTCTTTAACTCTTAAAAATATGATATTTGACCTGATCAGTAGATAGAGCATCGGCCTGCACATTGAAGGGTCATAGATTCAATTCCTAGTCAAGGTCAAGCACCTGGGTTGCAGGTTCAATACCTGACCCTGGTTCAGGCTCCTGAAGGAGGCAACCAATCAACATGTTTCTCTCGCATCGATGTCACTCTCTTTCTCTTTTTTCTCCCTGCCTCTTCCTCCCTTCCTTCTACTCTGTCTAAAAACCAATGGAAAAAATTCTTCAGCTGAGGATTTCTTTAAAAAATAGTATTTATAGTTTTGAGCACATAGTTAAGACTATCTGGGTCTGAATCCTAGTTACTCCTTTTAAAGCTTCTGTGACTCTGGGCAAGGTAATTAACCTTTCATGCCCTAGTTTCCTCATGTGTAACATGAGGTAATAATTACAAGATATTGAGAGGTGGGCCTGAAAATGAAATGGCAAAATGCGAATTTTTTTTCTAAGAAAGAGATATTAACTAAATTTTTTATTTGGAAATAAAAAACAAAAATCTCTTTCTCTTTACATTTTTCATTTTAGAGACTGATGGGAGAGGTAAAACAAAAAGGTTTTGAGAAGGATGTCTGCAAATACACATCACTGATATAACTAGAAATTGAGTTTGATATCCAGATAGAGATATTAAACCTCACAATCCAAATCTAAATCTAGAGTGTTTAACATATTTAACTTATTTAACATTGAAATTTTCAAAAATAATATGTCACGCTCGATTTCATGATTCATTAGAACAGAGTTTAGCAAATTACAACTCTTTAGCCAAATTTATTAAGCTGCCTTTAATATTTTATAGCCCATAACCAAAAAATGACTTTTACATTTTAAGTGGTTATATTTAAAATTTAAAATAAGTATGTGACAACATTCTTAGTTTTGCCTCTTGGGTTACAAAGCTTAAAATTCTGATTGCCTAGCCCTTCATGAGCAAAATAGTCAAATCCCTATATATAAACATTATTTTATGATATATAATATTATATTATTATAATATAATATTATAATATTATAATATCATAATATTATAATATTATAATATTATGATATTATAATATTATAATATTATAATATTATAATAATATATAATAGCATATTGTTCTTTCAATCATTCTGTGTTTGAAATTTTGAAATTTTTCTTGCGTTTTTATTGGCATCAAGAACATGGCCCAAATCAGAGAGTATAAAGAACATAAAGTCCCAACCAGGGACTTCTCTGTGAAGTTACAGAAGTGGTCTTAGGAGATTTTTCTTTGGTTCTTTTTTTTTTTTTAATTGAGATGTAACATCCTTTAAATTTAAGGTTTGCATTATGTTCATCTAATACACATATTTCTTGTGAAATGTGTTACCTCCATCACCTCAAATAACTTCTATTTCTTTTTTGCGGTGAGAACATTTAAGATCTCCTCCCTTTGCAACTCTGGAGTATACATGGAGTATTGTTACTATAATCGTCTTGTCTATTAGATTCCCAAAACTTATCTGTCTTCTAGCTAGAAGCTTATAGCCCTTGACCCACATCTCCACATGTCTTCAACCCCAAACCTCTAGCAACCATCATTCCACTATGTTTCTATGAGGTCGGCTTCTTTAGATTCCACATTTGAGATCATACAGTATTTATCTCTGTCTTAGTCCACTTAGTATAATGTCCTCTGGGTTTATCTGTGTTGTTGCAAATGACAGGATTTCCTTCTTTCTCATGGCTGAATAGTATTCCATTGTATGTATGCACCATATTGCATTATCCATGCATTCATTTATGGACACTTTGGATGTTCTCTTGGCTATTGTGAATAATCCTGCAGGAAATGGGGATGGGGTGGGGGGAGGGTGCAAATATCTCTTCAAGATTGTGATTTCATTTCCTTCGGATAAATACCCAGAAGTGGGATTGCTAGGTCGTATGGTAGTTCTGTTTTTAATTTGTAAGAAACCGTCATACTGTTTTTCATGGCTGTGCCAATTTATGTTCAGACCAATAGTGTACAAAGGCTCCCTTTTCTCCATATGCTTACCAACACTTATCCCTTATCTTCGAGATGATTAGTATTTTAACAAGTGTGAGGTTTTAATTTGGTTTTAAATCTCATTGTGGTTTTAATTTGCATTCCCATAACTAGGGATGTTGAGCATCTTTCATACTGGCTATTTGTATGTCTTCTTAGGATTATTGACTATCCATGACATCCATCCATCTTTTAATTGCTATTGATTTGTTTCAGTTCTTTATATACTTTGGATATTAACCCATTATTAGATATATGATTCAAAAACATTTTCTTTCATTCTGTAGATTGCCATTTTATTGTGTTGATTGTCTCTTTTTTATTTATTGATGAGAGAGAGAGACAGAGAGAGAGAAACATCAACTTGTTTTTCATTTATTTATGCATTCATTGGTTAAGTCTTGTGTATGCCCTTATTAGAGATCTAACCCATAACTTGGGTATATTGGGACAATCAATGCTGTAACCAACTAAGCTACCCACCCAGGGCTATTGATTGCTTCTTTTGCTATGTAGAAGCATTTTAGTTTAATGTAGTTCTACTTATTAATTTTTGCTTTTTATATATTATCCATAAAATATTTACTAAAACCAATATCCAGGTGCTTTTCCCATGTATTTTTTTTCTCTGAGTTTTATGGTTTCAGGTCTATGTTTGTCTTTAATCCATTTAGTTAAATTTGGTGAGTTGTATAAGATAGGGATTCAATAGTTGTATAAGATAGGGATTCAATTTCATTTGTCTGCATGTGGTTTCCAGTTTTCCCAACACCATTAAGTGAAGAGATTGTCTTTTTCCTATTGAGAATTCTTGGGTTCCTCGGCAATTATTAGTTGACCATATATGTAAGGTTTTATTTCTGGGGTTTCTATTCTGTTGGTTTTTGTGTCTATTTTTATGATAATATGATACTGTATTATTAATATAGACTTATAATTTAGTTTCATATCAGGAAGTGTGATGCCCCTTTGTTTTTGTTTTTTTTCTTTCTCAAAATTGTTTTGGCTATAAGGATCTTTTGTGGATCTGTACAAATTTTAGGATGTTTTTTCTATCTCTGTGAAAAATACCGTTGGAATTTTTATAAGAGATTGCATTGAATTTATAGATGGCTTTTATTAGTTTAGATATTTTAAAAATAATAATTCCTTTTGGAGATTTTTCTTAAGCCATTTTTTTGAATTTCAAAAATATGTCTCTGCTAATGTAGTTGCCCATACATTTTCATTAGAGAAATGTGGAATATTTCATTTTTGAGCTATCTTTAATAGGGTTCAACTCATTAACAAAAAATTAAATGCTGAGTTGTCATTTTTTTTCTGAATGTGGATTGCATAATTGTGTCACTAGTATTTCCACTGATGACATTAAAGTTATCACTTTTTCTTTTGTGACGCATTAAATTATGTGTTACATCTCAGTTTCATAACCATTTTATTTCTGATCTTACTATATAAAAGAAATGTTCCATTGGTAATATTTTCTTTCCCATCTTCTTATTCTAAAACAACCCCGCATTGAAAGAATAACATATTTTATTGGGGTAAGGTGGAATATCAGGTGAAATAATAGGTTAGAATATGCAAATGATTTAACAATAAAATAACTTTTACTGTAATTTAAAGAAAAATATATAATGGATATGGTCCAGTAAGTAATATAGCTAAATGTAGGACTTGGCATCACTAAGTATCTTGATATGCTGATTATCTATATAATCAGTTCAGAACATTTAACCTTTGTTGGAAAATGTAAATAATCCATGATTCATTATACAATACTGCTGCCTTTGTAATAAGAAAGTGTTTTTCTTTCTTCTCTCTTCTCTTCTCCTCACTCCAAAAATATTTGTTTAGATTTAAATCACTTCATTAAAAAAATACTTTCTCTTCTAAAAAGAGAAATTAGGAAATGAGTATATTAGAGGGAAGAAACAGATGTAGGTTATGATCAAAGTTTAAGTTCATGGAAATGCTTCATAAATTCAGTACAAATTAATAAACTGTAATTGTTAGTGCTTACCTTTATGTAGAGATTATTTTAAGCTCTCTCAAATCTAATTAAAATAGCTGTCTTAAATTTTTCCAGGTACAGAGAAGGAATAACCCTATTAGATTACTTAAATAATCATATTAATAATATAAAGCCTTCTTTGGTCGTATATTAATGTTAGAAATGTGGTCTCCTAGAACTTTCTGATCATAGAACACCCATGAAATTTTGACTTTTTTCACATAAGGCACATTTATTAACCTTTTTAGTCTTTCAGTTTACTTTTATTACTTTACATTTCAGTGTCCTTATCCGTAAAATGTAGGTAATAATTATTTTCCAGAGTCATTATTTAAGGGGCCAAGGACAATTCCTGTCAATTAGTGATTAAAAATTAGAAGAATGTTTATTCCACCCTCCCGAAAACTCACACATACCCAGGATACACATGTATGTGGGCAAATGCGTATTTCTTTAAAAAATAAACAAAATGTGAATTTTCTGGTAAATATTGAATAAAAATAAGTATTACTTATTATTGATAAACTAGAGGTCCGGTGCACAAAATTCGTGCATGGGGATGTGCCCAGCCTGCACCCTCTTTAATCTGGGACCCCTTGAGCGATGTTTGACTGCCCATTTAGGCCCAATCCTATAAAAATCCAGGACTAATAGCTCTCAACTGCTCGCCTGCCTGCCTTCCTGACTGGCCCTAACTGCTTCTGTCTGCCGGCCTGATCACCCACTAAGAACTCTCCTGCCAGCCTGACTGATGCCTAACTGCTCCTCTGCCAGCCTCATTTCCCCTAACTGCTCTCCCCTGCTGGACTAGTCCCCCACCCCAATAACCATCCCTTATAACCCTGGGTCTGCCCAAACCGCCCTCTCCTGCAGGCCTGGTCCCCCCGAAACTGCCCTCCCCTGCAGTCCTGGTCCCCCATAACTGCCCTCACCTGCAGGCCTGGCCCCCCATTATTCTCCCCTGCAGGCCTGGGCCCCCCCAACTGCCCTTCCCTGTAGGCCCGGTCTCCCCCAACTTCCCTTCTCTGCCGGCCTTGTCATCGCTAACTGCCCTCCCCTGCAGGCTTGATCACCCCCACCTGTCCTCCCTTGAAGGTCTGGTCCCTCCCAACTGCCCTCCCCTGCCGGTCATCTTGTGGTGGCCATCTTGTGTCCACATGGGCCAGCCATCTTATATGTTTAAGTGATGTTCAATTTGCATATTAGTCATTTATTAGATAGGATGTAGCATGGAAGAGACTGACTAAAAAACAGATAAATACAATATTAAGTATCTTAAAGATATGTAATTTGGCATTTCATGTCAAAGAATGGCCTCAAAGATTAGTACATCATTCCTCTCTGTTTGGCTCACATGCTCCTCAACACTTATTAATAGAATGCCTTTGTCTCTTTTTATCTATCCTTTCTTTCAACCCAATCTTCTAAACTGATAATTCCAACCTATCCTTTGAAGAGTTTCTCAGAAGTCCTCTTTTCTGAGAAGCCTTTCTTGGTCCACTGCCTGGTGACAGCAGGCACTCCATATTCTTGTTCCTTTTTCAAAATAGTCATTCCATACATGCAAGTTCTTCAACTGAATATGAGTTCATTCTTTCCCTAAATTGCTACATCTGTGCTAGAATAAAACTTTAGAATATTAAAGTATAAAGTTTTACTTTTGATTACTAATTTTAATATATCACTCACTTTCTTTTTTATTATAAATAACATTCTTCAAAAATATATACTTATAATTATTTTCAAATAAAATTAGATTGGGAAATTACATTGTCACAAGTTGTAGAAAGATGAATTCATGTGAAGTTGGTATATAATATAAAGAGCTAAGAGTAATGTATGTACCGTGTTACTTCATAATGAGTATAAATTTGTGGATGTATAACCAACCAATTGCATGCCCCAGAATATGTTTTAGTTAATGGATACATGATTGGAATTGTTTTTTCTGTTGGTAGTGGAGGTCTGTTTTAGGGCAGTTATTGTTAATTTTTGTGTTATGTTTGATTAAATGCACAATAATAAAAAAAATTTCAACATGATAAAAGTTTCCCCCTAAATAGTTGATATAATAGTTTACTATTAAAAAAAAAAAAACTACTTAAAATATTTTCTCCTGTGTTTTATACTATAACTGGATTAAGAATTTAATGAGCTGTGCTATAAAGAAAAGCAACCATATTTCTCTGTGATTACTGAATAGAACTATTTTAATAGTATACATTTTAAATATTTTGAATCTTATATTCTGAAGTTGCAAATTTGATCTCTTTTAAGAGAAATAAATTTCAAAGAAATATAGTACATTTAAAAGAAATGCTTCCAGGCCAGTAGGGCTAAATTGTTGTACGTTGACCCATGAGGGTTCCATTCCTGGTCAGGGCACATGCCTGGCATTCAGGCTTGATGCCTAGTAGGGATTGTGGAGGAAGAAGCTAACCAATGATTATCTTGCATCATTGATGTTTCTACCCTTCTATCTGCCTCTCTCTGAAATCATTTTAAAAACATTAAAAAATGCTTAAGCCTAATGCATTACTTTTTGCTGTTTTTAAATACTTTCTCTCTCTGCTCTTTTTCTCTCTCTCTCCCCCTCCCTTTCTTAGCCCCACTTCTCTGTGTATAAATTCCTTGCTAGACTTCTGGGTAAAGCCAGTTGCACCAATAGGATACTTCATATCAAATTTATAAGCCTAAAAGAGCATCTAGAGGAGTCTTACATTTTGGTTCTTTGATCTAAGAGGTATATTGTTATGGTGCAATTGAAAGTGTGTGTTTTGAAAGTCTCTAAACAAAACATCAAGTTAAATGGTATGAATACCATTATTTTATATTCTGAAAATATGCTGAACAAACTTTCTTGTGTCTGTATGGCAAAGAAATGATTATATTATCTAAAAATAAAACTCATATATTTTATACCATGATTCCTGGCTGAAATGAATGGCTTGCTAACAGAAGTCACATTTTAATTGGCTAGGTACGAAAAGAGTACGGGAAATGCCTGCGGACACATTGTTGTAGCGGCAAAAGTACAGAGAGTTCCATTGGCTCAGGGAAAACATCTGGTTCTCGAACTCCTGGACGCTACTCCACAGGCTCGCAGGTAAACCATATTTACTAAAACAAACTTCCTTTCACCTATATTTTGTTATGGAATGTTGCCCTTTTTTGATCAGCTCTATTTTCTATCCCAAGCGTTTAACACATCAACTTTTAGTGTGTCTCACACAGGCATGATTATAGCAAAAATTTAAGAAACCAAATGGCAATAAAATAAAAAAAATGTGGGGGTCTAAGTTTGTGTAACAATTATTTCAAATTGATTCAGTGGACTGAGTCCAGTGGTGGGAAAGAAATTGGGCGTTTCAACCAAAGTTATAAAAAAATAATAATATTTTACATATGTGATTCTTAAGTTAATTGCTTCTTTAAACCAAGGTAGTAATCCTCTATCACATACTAAAAGTATTTACTTATTAAATGGTATGCTTAATAAAAACAGTTATAACTCATAACGTGTTGTTGGCTGATTACTTGAAGGACTTGTCAGGGGAGGGAAGGATGCTATAACAGCTTTCTTGTTTAAACTAGTCTAAATGCTGCTGCCATCAGCCCAACACTAGACAGAGTAACTGCTCTGTCCCTCATCAGGGAAACTCAACTTTTAGGTAACCTGTCAGTCATTTGTCCCAGGCCACAATGTTAGCCTAATGATTATTAGGCTAATACTAAAATTTCAGCAACTTGAGGAGACTAGAATGAGCCGTTTAGGTAAAGACATGGCATTATGTGAGTCATGTGTGGGTTTGAGTTCAGACTAGCAGGCTAATATTTTTAAGATTGCATTATTCGGGGGCGGGGGGGGGGACGACAATCATGTTTTCAGTATTGTTGATTAAATTTTTCTGAAGAAGACTTGAATTTAAATAAATTTATAGATAAAAAATAGTATTTTCTTAACTCCTTTAACTCAACCAATAAATCTAATTATTTTTTGTAAATTTGGTAATTTTACATAACATCAGAAAGATACTTCATTTGTTCTTTGATTATTATTTAATTGATTTACAAATTTAGCAGATTAAATTTCCCTAAGCAATTTAATTACTACATTTAGAACATTAAATAGCCTTGTAACCTTATTTGACACAAATATTTTTTATTGATTTCAAAGACGGAGAGGAGAGAGAGATAGAAACATCAATGATGAGAGAGAAGCATTGATCAGCTGCCTCCTGCATGCCCCGCACTGGGGAATGAGCCCACAACTTGGGCATGTGTTCTAACTGAGAATCAAACCTCGACCTCCTGATTCATAGGTTAGTGCTCAACCACTGAGCTATGCAGCTGAGCTATCCTTGTAACTGTTAAACATCATTTACAAATTGAATATATCTGATTCTCTCACACACATCCACTGTTCAGTTGTACACACTTTACTAGCACTTGAACTTGTCTCATAAGTACTATCCTCCAACTAAAGAAATCCTCTTCTAACTTACAAATAAAACCACACATCTAATACCAATCTAAAGTTTCAAACTAAAAAATGTAAAACTAACATAACTCTCTAATCTATGAGAATATATTATCATTTAAACTAACTGCAAATTATGATCATGAAATACTCCTACGCTGGGGTTCCCTCAGCCCACCCTACGCCATCTCATAGACCAGGACTCCCTGCTTCTTATCTTCGACCTGCAGTGGAAGCTGGAAGGCTCCTGCCACAGCCGCTGTGCTCTCCAGCCATGAACCTGGCTTCTGGCTGAGCAGCATTCCCGGTGTGGGAGTGCACTGACCTCAGGGGGCAGCTCCTGCATTGAGCATCTGACCCCTGGTGTTCAGTGCACGTCATAGCAACTCGTCATTCTGCCTTAATGGTCAGTTATACTTTTATTATATAGATATAATGAACAATTATTAGTCATTTAAGTTTGATTTGTCTTATTACTTCTATGCCTTACTGAGGTTGCAAATTAGGGGACCAGATGTTGCAACTAGGTGGGCTGAGATTTCTTAGTTTACAACTAGAAACTTGCCAATTAGAAATCTGAAGTCTCACGTAAGAGTTGGGGTACACCTAATGATGTTTCCAGCACAAGCCCCTAGAGGCCTGGTGCACAAAATTCGTGCATGGGAGGGGAAGTCCCCTCAGCACAGCCTGTACCCAATCCAATCCGAGTCCCCTCAGGGGATGTTTGACTGCCAGTTTCAGCTAGATCCCTGGGATCAGGCCAAAACCCACAGTCGGACATCCCTGTCACAATCTGGGACCACTGGCTAACTGCTCACCTGCCTACCTGCCTGCCTGATTGCCTCTAACCACCTCTGCCTTCCAGCCAGATTTCCCCCTTCCTCTTGAAGGGGAAATTTTTTGAGTAAAACCCTTAATACTGATGGAGCTCCCCATAACTGTATATGGCAGAAGAAACAGGTTTATCAAGTCCTAAACCAGAGGTTGTTTGGCATGGTAAGGGATTCTAAAGAATAGGTGTGGCTAGCCCAGGTAGAAGAGACTAAGAGAAGATGAGGTAATGGGGGCAGCTCATTTAGGAGTCACCTAACAAATCACAATTTCATCAACTCTCAGATAAGATGTCACTTTTTCAATGGTAGTATCCTCAGCGTTTCGAGAAAAGGACATATACCTTATTATGCGCACTTTCTAATTTTTTTTTATTTCATTGCTGTGTATTATTCTATAATTTATTCATTCATCCTATCACTGATAGTCATGTGGGTTGTTTTTAGTTTTGAGTTGTAGTAGTTAATGCTTTTTTGGAGATTTGTGGATACATGATTAGACATTTTGGATTTACTTTTCCCCTTTATATTTCCTAGGTTAGTATTTGGCATATAGTAGAGAGTATTTAATATTTTAATTAATTAATTAATTAATTAAACCAATGTTCTCAATATTCCTTCTTCATATTTCAGTTTGAAGTAGCTGTTTCCAACACTTTAATTTGATGCCTTGAAATATTTTTCAATAAAAAAATATTCTCAGGTTATCAGGGTCTCAAATCCTGCACCAGTTTTATTATGCCTTTTTTTTAAAATTAGCTTTGCTGTATATGCGTGTGTATGTGCGTGTTTGCTGACCTATATAACATTATAGATAATACTGCTGAAGGATAACCATGTCCCAAGATTCACAAAACCAATTTTAAGATTAGGTACTCCCATTATTCAAGGAATGCAAAATATATTTGGAACATAACCCATTTGTGAGCTTGGTTTCACTACTGGCAGTATAATAAATAGTGTTTATAACTATTTCATCCCTGGAAAAGCTTCTGAAAGATTTTGTTTTCTCCTCACAAGATTGTTAATACTCTTTTGATCCCTAACTCAATAAAATAACAAAATAAAATAAACCACAAAAATAATCCCCCCAAAATGGAAAAATAACACATTGCTTTATTGAATTATCCAACACTTAGAATATTGCATTTCGGAATATAAATATTAATGTAAGAATTTTCAGTTCTCTATAAAACTTCCTACTGTGAAGCACTGAATAAGGGTAAATCAACTAATCCTATCTCTTTCTTAGAAAAGAAACATCAAGATAGTGTGTAACCTTTAAAATTACATTGGTCTTTTTACAAATAAATGGAAATGTTAATTAAGTTCAGTAGAATCTTAATAATATTCTATGTTATTTTCTTACCAAATTCTTTCTTACAAGATTTTTAATTCATGAACTAAATATTTTATTAATAAAACTGACAATGTAATAGAAATTTTAAAAACCTATTCTCTTTAAAGTTACAATGAAAATAATTTGTTTTGCCTTAGAAACTAAAATTATTAAATTCTAACTGTGTCAAGAACATTTTTATATATTTCAGCATGTTTAAATTGGTATAGTATGTTACATTTATTCCTTTTCACAATTATAATTGTTTTTTGTGTAGACACTTAGAATTATACTTAATAAAGACAAATTATTATCATTGACTTATTTTCTGATGTTCTCATGCCACTGTACTGCCAGCATGTAGATGTTGTGTATTTTCCTGATGTCAGAAACAAAGGTCTCATATAATTAAGAAAGAAGAAAACATTTTTTTGGTGAGAATTCATGAATTCATTTCCTTTTCCTTTCCCCCCATCAAGAGCCGAATTCGTAGAATGTGGAATGACACCGTCCGAAAGCAGTCAGAGTCTTCCTTCATCACTGGAGATATAAACAGTTCAGCGTCACTCAACAGAGGTAATTAGAAATGATTTTTCATATTTATTACTGTTGTGATTACTTTTATGAAGTTATTAAATGCCTTGCTTTTTTTTGTTTGTTTGTAACTTCTGGACTTTTTCCCATGTGATAGGAATCTTGCAAAGATATAAAACTCACTTGAGTGTAGCAGAGTGTTCCATTATTCATAAGTCTTTTTTTTTTTTCAATCCTGAATTTTCAGGAAATCTTTTTCTGAAAGGAAGTTAGAAAACAAGAACGTTCTTTTTCTAGTCTTCTGCCACTGCTATAAACTGGTGAGCTGTCAGGCCTCGTGGAAGCAGTGAAAATGAGTAATTATGTGGCTAGTCAGCTAGGCATCATAGAGTTCCCCATTGTCCCAGGTACAGAGCACTTTCATAGTCTTTGTGGAAGTAAAAATATACTGTCCAATACACACTGAAGGCAACTTGTGTATTTGAAGGGGAAAAATCACATCTAATCTTAATATCTAAAAATACTTATTCAGATAATATTGGATATTTAAAGATCTTTATATGTACATATGTTAAATGTTATGATTATTTTATGCTGTGCTTCAGTAACAATGTTCCTTGGTCATATTTTAGGTTTGTTTAAATGAACTTCACTTAATCTACCGTTTTGTTTATTGTTAATTTATTTTGTATTCTCTTTCTTTGTCATATAGTGCATGTGTGCTGTGATTAGAATTAAATTGACTACAATAAAAATGCATAGGTGCATTATTTGTGGAGAGCTAGAATACACTAGGCAGTGCAAGAAAATATTTAGGATACAATATAGTTTTATCTGGGAAGGTGGTAATTGTATGAGTTTATTCCAAAAATGTCTCCATCCTAAAATAGACATTTCTGATGCATATATATCCAGAACTTATTTTTATGATCAACATTATTATTATTATTATTATTATTTTTACCAAACTAGGATTATTATTTTGGTCTAAACATGTTCTTGTCAACTTTTTGCTACTTAGAAACAAATTAACACAGTTATGGCTTATGATTAAGAAAGATTCAGATGCTCCTGCTCTTAAATTATTTTTTCTCAAGTAAATTGCATCCTATTAATATAAAAGAATTTAGGATATATAGTGTCCAAGTTGAATTTGATACAGGGATCTATGTTGTATATAAACTTAACTGATTTTCATATGTTACTTGGCAGTGATACAGTAACTGTCATCTAGTGATGATATTAAGTATTCGACATTTCTTTTGCTTAAATAACAACAGGGAGTACAAATATACCTTTGAATGTGGAGAAAATAAATTAAAATAAAACAAATTGCTTCTTGTTAGTGTACTTTTATTTGTTGGAGTATATTGATCTACATAATATTGTTCAAGTATTCTAACATTTAATTTTTAATTTTAATAGTTAGTTTGTAAAAATTTATTTAGATATGGATACTCAAACACTTTGACAAGTTTTCAAATTACAGAACACAAATGACTTTAAAATGCCTCCAAAGTTTAGGAACAAATTTGCTTCCAAAGTGAAAGATTTTCATTATTTTTAAAATAATCCCAGGTATAGAAAATTTATATGTATGCTTCTAGAAAGAAACCTATCCTTATTAATAAGATTTATTATTAGAAGTATCTTACATGTAATGATTACTGAAACCATAGAATAATTGTTGTTTAAATAAAACATGAGATAATATAGTTTTAATGATGCACTATTTATTTGCCTGCTGTGAAGATGGATAAAATATGTAAAACTAATTTGCCTAGAATCATCATCTAACTTTATATAAAAAATAGTAAGGTATGTAACTTTAGCAAAAACTTTCTAAATGCATATTTTATGACCTTGATTTTTAAGGCCAATCACATTCCCTATATAATATTGCTGTGCCATTTTTAGTTCCTTCTCAAGAATTTTACCAACTTGGAATATATAAAATATAGATGACTGGGTCAATTTGAAATATATTTAAAGAAAATAATATTTTATATTGACTGATCACCTGTTTAAATCTATTTTTAAAATATTTAGTTTTAAAAGATATTTCTTACAGTTATTGAGGAAAGTATAACATTTCTTGTGACAGCCGATACGTTACTTTAATGATGACTTTGGGAGAGAGTGACATTGAATTTATGATGTGAAGTGTGTGCAGGCAGTGATCTTTTCCTTCAGGATATATATTCTTCCTTTTCACTCAGTGACTTTAATGGTGGTAGACATCACAGTGATCCTCTTGATTTCCTATATTAATTTTCTAGTCCCTCAAGTCAGAAACTCCTCGTTTTATTCTCCTCTCATTATTTTTACCTTAGATGAGGGGAGTACTTTAAAATTTTATTTCTTCATATTATATCTTTGAAGATAGTCTTTAACCTCCTTCTTTAATCTTGTCTTATTTCCCAGGGTCCTATCTTCCCTGCATTCAGGCGTGTGTATCATATTTAGGTAGGTGGCATCCAAGATTCACTTTCCAGATAAACACTTCAGTCACCTCAGCAACATAATTATTTACCTCTGTTTATTCAACAGATTACATTCTCTATTATTTTTTTTTAAAGTAGGCCCTGCATCTTTACATCTTCATATATCCTAACTTCCCATTCATTCTTAGTTTCTTATAACTAGCAATATTTTCAAATTTCCCTTTCTAAGTTAGATGGATTAAATCTCTTATTTTTGCTTTTAGAACAGATCTGGTCCTTGAAAACCACAAAACATTGTCTAAAATTAATCCTATTTTCACTGAGGTTTTCTTTCCTATTCATACCACTGCCTAATTCATCAAAAGAATAATTGTTTTAAAATTATGTATGGCTTATCTATTCTTCTAAATAAGAAACTATCATTATCATCTCGGTGATCCATTAAGGGTAAAGTATTTACCATGCCCTGCAGGATCCCTTCTCAAAAGTTTTTATTTTTTAAAACCATTTTGAATATTCTATTCTTCAACCAGCATGTTACATATGACATATCAGATTAGCTATTTAAATTTCCCAATGAGATAAACTTGATTACTATATGGCTTTTATTCCTTGGAATCATAGGAAACCTTGGAATATTTATTAATCATTTTTAATTTTGTACTCATTCTTATATATTCTCTTTGGGATTTTGTTACTTGGACACCTCATCTTTTTAAAACTGTCCATTACATTTGTCCTTAGAATAGCTATATTTATGAAGGCGTTTTCCAAATGTTCCCTATACATTTTCAAATATTTTTCCCTCTGCCAACTTGATTGCTACAGAATTTAGCAATCAAGAATTTCTTGAAGTCACGCCACTGTATACACAGGTAGCAAGAGCTTTGCAAGAGCCCTAAAGTGATGGTATATTACAGAGTCTCAAGTAAAGTTACCTCTGTTCCAAACCAGGTTTTCACAAACCCCACAGTAGGGTTTACTCATTTGTTCATTTGAATATTTACTATTTTCATGCACCTTAAAGTCAGTCCTCAATCCCCAAGCTTCTGTCAGGTCTATTGGAAACATAATCCAAATTTCTAATAGCTCCAACTGACTGGTAGTAATAGAAACAATTTGTAGGTAGAGTCATCTTTTATACCTATTCCCTACCCTCAGTGTCTGCTGACCAAATCTCATCTTGAACAATTTAGATTAACATTGCCCCTGAAACGTAAGTTTCACCCACAAATGAAGTATCTCCTGAGAAAGTTCTCTGGTACTTCATGTAAGTGTTAACTATTTCCCCTCTTTTTATAGCATGTGTAGAATTAAACTTTAGTAGGCTTTATTCCACCATGAATAATATAATTGCACCACCCATTTTTTTTATTTAATTAGTTGAATCAACATCAGAAATTTCCGTTTAAAATCAAGTTTTGCTAGGTAACTACTTATCAGTATGTTATAGTTGAGTGAATTATAAAAAGTTACCCTCACCCCAACCCAACTGTTGATGTGTTACAAAAATATGCCCCCTCTGAGTGGCAGATTTAGCAAAAAAGGTATTTCTTCTTTTAGAACAATGGCTTCGTCAGCATCATGAGTTTTTATCCCCCCCGCGCCTCCCATCCTCCATCTCATCAACTTCACACACAATGCAATTTAGATTTTTATACATGGCGAACTGACCACTAGTGCTGAATTTATTTAAGCCAAATTTATTATATGGCAGAAGACTGATCTGTAGGTGGGCAGCACTTCCTTATTAAAGCCAATACATTTCCTCTAGAACAGTGGCTCTCAACTTTCTCATGCCGCGACCCTTTAATACAGTTCCTCAGGTTGTGGTGACCCCCAACCGTAAAATTATTTTTGTTGCTACTTCATCACTGTAATTTCGCTGCTGTTATGAACCGTAATGTAAATATCTGTGTTTTCCGATGGCCTTAGGCCACCCTGCTCGCGGTTCTCCACCTGTGTGTCACTACAGGTTGAGAACCGCTGCTGTAGAGCCTAAGACCATCCAAAAACACAGATATTTACATTACGGTTCATAACAGCAGCGAAATTACAGTGATGAAGTAGCAACAAAAATAATTTTACGGTTGGGGGTCACCACAACCTGAGGAACTGTATTAAAGGGTCGCGGCATGAGAAAGGTTGAGAAACACTGCTCTAGAGGTTCAAAGTCATACTCACCCATACATGCATTCTCAGTAAGCTTATGTATGAATCAGTAAAATTATGATGGCCTATGGCAATCTTTTCATAAATTGTTAGGGTAGATTTTCACTCTCAGTGGCACACTACCTACTCAAAGTACAATAGTTTTGAGAAAGGAGCTTGAGCGCAGTGATTTTGGTAAATTGCTTAACTTCTCACTGTCTGCACAATAGGGATATAAATAATATCCCCTCAGAAGAACCCTGAGACTATTAAGTTACTAAATATATGTTATTTGGTTACAACAGTGCCTGGAACATAAGTATTATTGTCATTATTATTCTTTTATTCAGAAATTTACTTCTGTTTCTATACCTAAAAGCTGGTTCTTGTCAGTACTCTCAAGTAATCAGATGTTAAAATTTATCATTTGCTCCCAAAGGTTTCTTT